AAATATGAAACACAAACTTGATTGCGGATATCTGAAAGTTTTGTGTTATATTTTAACAATTCTATTCGAAATGTACTACTTCCATCCATACAGCTATCATTTACTCTACACCAGCGTTTTCCAAACTGTGAGGAGCGCCTCCCTGGGGAGGCGTGGACTAGTCTAAGGGGAGGCGCGAATATTAGTAGCAGTGAGCATTTTTTTCAAATATTTGCTAAAGTATAGTTACATTCCTATGCTCTTACCAATATTGCTGTAAAGTTGAAAAATTGAAATTAGAACGTTCGAAAAAGCAGTGTTTTCACATTTCATTAATTTACTCGAAAACTATAATAGATAGAATGAATCCGATATATGCATATGAAAGATGAATGTTTGGGGAATCCAGCAAGATACATTCTTGTGCTCTTACCCATATTGCCAAATGGCGCCAAATGATTACATACTTTTGAGGGAGGCGTAGTAACATCAAGTTTGAAACCACTGAATTAGAGTAAACTTTGTTTCAAAACAATTTGCACATATGTTATGATCATGGGTTATTTGAAGATTAATAAGAAATAAATAAGAAATAAATAATTTTATATACAAATAAAATTAAACAAAAGGTTGTAAATTTTTCTAAAATTCCAAGATTATCACATTATTATTACTATTTTTTTTTAACTGTCTACCTATTTATTTTGTTGTATTTTCTGCGCGATCCTTGATGATCTCCTTTTTGCAGGTATTTCATTGCTATCGTCCGCACTCTTCCTCTTGGACACTTGCACTTGGCGCTGTATCCTCAATGATCTTCTGGATGGACGACCGCGTACTTTATTAATATTCTGTTTCTCAAACTCGGAGCATTCCATATTAATATCAGTTTGCGTCGGTGGATTCTTTAAAACCAATTCACCAATGGGACTGGAGAATGGATTTTGAACAATGCACTGATCTGCAGATGATTTTAAAATGGTTTTACGCTGACGATCCTGAAATACATAATCTTCAATATTTTCGACCACTTCCATTGACTCAAGCTTAGTAATACTTGATTGAGTATTATTGGTGTTACTTACGTTTTTCTCGTTCGGCTCATCATCTATGTACAGTGCATCCTCATCTTCCGATTCAACTAATTCAAACATCAAGTCATTTGCAGCTAGGATTATTTGAAGTTCTTCAATTTGTTTATAATAAGTTATAGCGTTCATCATGATAGATATTAGTTGTTATCGTCGTTGAGTAAACAGTGAAAGTAATGAACTTCTCGAATTTGCAGTGCGGCCAAACTAAAAAAAGGAAACTGCCAACTGTCAACTGCCAACATAAGAATATACTATTATACTTTTCTTCTCAAGTGAAAAATGGAAACAAAAATACCCACTTTTCATGACTCATAATTTGCACTTATGAATGTAATAACTTTAATTAAATTATGCTTTCAAATTCCAGCCTAATCCAAATTTCGTAACAATTTTCATTTGGCTATATTAAACTGTCAAAGTTCAAATAACATCTTTTTAAGGCCGCGGAAATGCATCGTACATATGAATATAAATACTCTAATTAAAGTTAGATATTTAGACTTTCCTTTGAGTCTATTATGACAATTGTATTATTTATATTATTGAAAAACACTGATATAAATTTACACTTACAATTCAAATATTTGTTTAATAATTGCTAAAAATTTGCTTTTAAACAAATTTTACTCTAATTTTACTTTCAGAAATATGTGAATATCGCGGTTTGCTTGTTGTTAAAGATGAAATAACCTCTTTCTAAAGCAGAAAAAAAGCATTGTCTTCACATTTTCTTATAATAATAATATTTATTAGTTACAATTGTAACCAAAGGGCTATCGACCTAAGTCTTTACACCCGTACATTTTCTCTAATTTATCTTTAGTTTTATAAATTGAATTATTGAAAATGTTCAGTTTTCAAATGTATTATTTCGTGATTGTTTTATTCTGTTTTAGTAAATCCATATTTTTAGTTAACTTTTGTTTTTTTATTATTAATAATTGAATTTTTATCAATGGAATAGTTTTAGATATTTTACGTTTCTATTTTATGTAATTAATATAAATATCAATTTTATTAATTATATAGACATTAGAATTGTCACTTTCTCTTAATAATATTGATAATATTTTTTCAACAAGAAATTGTAATAATTTACATAATAATATTGTTAGTTTAATGAGAAAAAAATTAATTTTTAAACTAGAAAATTCTATTTTTTTTATAAATAACTGTTCAAACTATAGAAAATTATTCTAAACTTTAATAAACTCTTAATAACTTATTTAAAATTATCCTTTCTTTCATCAAGATTTTATTTATAAATTAAAATTTATATTTTTTTTAGGTAAAAATAAACATTTCATGTGTTTACAACAAAATATGCAAGTTTTCAATATTTCTCCATAGTTTTTATTTATTTATTATTTTTAATAATTATAGTTTCAGCAATAATTTCTTCATGTAATATTTCATATAAGTATTATATAATTAAAGTTTCAGTTTAGTTGAAATTTAAATAATTATTAGACGTATTTTTATAACAAAATAATTAACTGTTACAAAGTGCTATCGGTTTTTAACGCTAATTAATGAAATAATTTGTGATGAAAAAAATGGTACATTATTTTAATTATTTATAATTTGAGATTTGTTGCTATTTTTTTTGGTTATTTTGTCTGACGATGATGCCAAAGGTACCCTTGATTTTTATACTAGTGTAGGTATAGCCCCCATCCCTGGCCCCCAATAAACCAATGGTCAGAATGCCACGAGTGCGAGCGAGAGCGGCGCCCATAGTTGGTGCCTTTTAGGGTGGGTACCCTTCATAGCCATCTCTCTCTTCGCTATTATTATTTCTCGCTTCCTGTCTTTTTTTCTCTTTCGCTAGAACCATTTCATTTTCAACGTCCCACCCTACCCATTCTGGTACATTGTTGATGAATTGTTATTCTGGGCGTGATAGTATGCGCCTTTTCAAATTTCGTTTTCACTAATAGGAAAACGCTACCAGAAAATCCACCGGTGAATATGGATATGTGTATGGACATGGGAGAGCAAGTTGGAGAGCCAATTGGGTCACGTAAGCTACTTGACTCCTAAAGCTACTTAGATCCGTTCTTTAAACACTGGATTAAAAAGACACATTCAGTTCCCATGGCAACGATTTGTTACATGGGCTTATGGAAATTCGTTCAAAGAACGTAACTAAATTGATAAAGCAAAAGTAATTATTAATTTTGTTTCTTTTTTCATTTACAGCAATACCTCGCACAGTGCGGGTAATCAGTTTCGTCAATATTACATACTCTTTAATATCACGCTAATCAAGGAACCAAATTCAAACAAAAATAAACCGTAGAAAAAGATAGTTGAGTCTAATGGAAACAAAAAACATACATTTATGTAGAAAAAAATAATTTTGAGTAATATTTTTTTAAATTTATTTTTAATTTATATGTACTATCTTTTGAAATTTTCAAGCCGGACTGAATAAAGCCGCGTTATCAGAATTATTGTATAAAAACGAATAGTAAAATATTATGGTTTAAATTCCGCTAAGCAGTCTAAATTAATTTTCTTTTTCGTTTACAGCAATAATTTGCACAGTGCGTCTGGTTCATCAAGGAACCAAAATCATACAAAACTATACCTTACAAAAAGACAGTTCAGTGTAATGTATAAAAAGTTCATTTATGTATAAAAAAAAATGTTGAGTAAATTAATTTTTAATTTGCTTACCAAAAATTTACTTTCTTTTCAAATTTTGAAACCGGACTGAATGAAGCCGCGCTATCAGAATTATTGTCCTATTCATCGAATAGTAGGTTTTCAAACAGAACCGGTTACCCGCACTATGCGAGGTATTACTTATATTCATAAAAGTAAAACAAAGCTATAAATTAATGAAAAAAAAGTTTATTAAATTATTTCGATTAATTAAAAATAATTTTTCTTCTTCTATAAGTGCATTAAAGAGAAACTTTCTTTTGTGATTTTACCTTACAGAAGTAAAGGGTTAACGTTCGTCAAATATTATGGCACAGGTCATAAATCAACCGAACTTTATCCCAAATAAAAAAAAGATTAAAAATAATCCGCAATCAAAGTATTATATTGTAAATGAATAAATCTTGTATGTTCCTGGAAATCGCTTTTGTTCGTGAACCTGTTTTTAATAATAATCATCATTATCACTATCATCTTAACTATAAATTTTGACGGTCTCTTCACTAAGAAATTAAAGGAATTAATTGAAAATAATTTTGCTTTCCTTCTAGTTTGTTTCTTGTTTATTATTTCATTACTTAACAATTTTTGAGATGAGTAAAAGTTGGAATAATCTTTGTAAATCTACGGAAAACAAGTGGATAAACATTATTTATTAATTTAATGCTTTAGTGTATAATTAATTAATCATAATTTTACTAATTATTTTAACATTGTATGAAAAAAATACATTGTATGAATTAAATAATATTTATAATTACTGAATCTTTATAGCAAAGTTTTTCAACTTTCTTAATTCCGTTGCACAATTTTTATTCCATACAAAAATTATTATAAATTTCATGTTTTTTTTTGAAAAATTGATATAAACATTTATTTTATTAATGTTTTGTTTTGCTTGTTTTCTCCATTTTGTTAATAATGTTTTACAATTTTAAAGTTTTATATAAATCATAGTTTATGTTCCAGGTACTTTGACATTGAAAGTAGTAAATATATGTTTAACAAAAAAGTTACAGTTTAAAGTTATTTAAAGCTTTTCTTATATAATTATTAACGATTATTAAAGTTTATAATAATGTTCATTATTATTTTTTATTTACCTACAGTGTTAGTACGTACCAGTAGTAGCTGCTTCAAACTCTTCGTTTGGCGCGCTTTTTCAAAATTTGTAAGCAGTAGCAGGTAGTTTGTAGTGCAATAAAACTGTCATTGCTGAAATTGTCGATTTAAGTATTCATTTAACAGTTGTTCATCATGTCGAACACATCATCTAGCAGTTCAAGTAGCAGCAGCAGCTCTTCTTCGAGCAGAAGCTCTTCATCGAGCAGAAGCTCATCTTCGAGCAGTAGCTCGTCTTCAAGCAAAACATCTTCGAGCAGTAGTTCATCGGCGAGCTCCAGGGATGCATCCGTCGAACGCACTCAAATTGCGGCTCCGACTCCGGCTTCGGCTCCGATTTCAAACCGGAAGAGTTGGAGTCCAGGCTTTTAAGTCTCCAAGATAAAAGTGAACAGCAGCTCTTCAAGCTTTAAATGCAGTCGATTGAGTGACTCTTCTTCCGATGAATCAGATTCGGAGTCAATCAGTCAACAGTCGACTGCGTTGGCCAACAAGTCGGAAAATATTGAAGCTTCTTTGCCTCAGATTCCCAGTGGTTACAGGGTAAATAAAGTGCAGTCTACGAAACCAGCCTTGTCGTGCGAAAGTGCTAAAAGTAGTAGCAGCAGCAGCAGCACTGAAGAAAATAAACCTCCAGTGCTTAGTGGTATATGGGTGAACCCAGAGGTAAGGAAGCGAGGAAGACCTCGAAAAGTTCCAACCGGCACACAAAATAATTTTACAATTACACCACCACAGCGTGCTCCTCTAAGTAGGCAGTCGGAAA